ATTTCGCTACTCGAGGACTATTACTAATAGTCCTCTAGTAGCGTAGCCAATTAAAATGCAGGATTTGCATTAGTCCGCTAGTTGGGTGATACTAATATCATTTAGTTCAAGAGAACAAAGAATTTCTTTTGAACAAATTTGAGGGAACAAGGAACGTCTCTAAAATCAACAGAAACTCTGGCCAAAAAGTTTAGGGAACAATGGAATTTATCAAAGGGGAACAAGGGAGAAAATGCTCAGCTTTTGCTGGCGGGATTAAATGAACATGTATCCCTTAAAAAGCCGTAATTTGGGAGCGTTTGTTTCCCCCAAAAGGACCGTGTGAAGACAGTTTCCAAGCAGAGGCATATCACGTAGTCTAGGTGATATGCTTCTGTTCCAAGTTATTCCAACTGCTAAAGACGAATAGTGTCGCAGGGTAGGTTGAAACGCTTACCTATGTGTAATCTGGCTTTCTCGCTAGCCTCAGTTCTGTGGACGTTCGACAGTTGCCCAAGACAAAATCTACTGCCTCCTGACGGGTCAACATACCCATCCACTGTAACCGACGGACAAGAGGACATGACCTTGAAAATCTCGCCAACTTGCTGGTCCAATTCGAAGTAGGATATGGAACACCAATTCTCGGGAGCTGTACCGAGAGAAGATGGAAAGTAAATCTCACAATAACGCTGCATGTTGCATGAGAAACGAAATCTCCTAAATCTCCCTTTCCAGTTGTAGTGCGTTCGTTTCCCGCGTCGTTTCCCGCCAAAAAATTGCGCACGAAAGTGAGGCGCTAGAGCCCTCCCTGAAGGTTGGGTTATGAAAGCAAAATCAGGGTAGGATATCGAACACCAATTCTCGGGAAATGTACCGAGAGAGGACGTAAAAACAATCTCAAATTAAAGCTTAAGACAAAGCATAATGAGAAACGAAATTTCCTGAATCTCCTTTCGTCCCTTTTCCAGAGTGCGTTTGTTACCCGAGCCGTTTCCCGCCAAAAAATTGCGCACGAAAACGAGGAGGTAAGGCCGTCCCTGAAGGTCGGGTTCTGGAGCCAAGTTACAAAATAAACAACGTCTACTTTTTTATTGGAGCACTAGGTAAGACTTGAGATAAATTTAGCATAAGAAGTTGTCCTTGGGTGAGTCACAAAAAAGGTAACAAATGCTCTTTTCCTTAAGTTAAGCTCTTTTCTCTCCGAAAGATAAGAACTTTTCTACAGAGGATAAACTTCCAGAACAAACAGAGTAGACAAGAAAACAATCAGGCTGTGACTTAGCAAAGGTAAGCTCATTGGGTTTTCAAGAATAAAGCAGAACATTAAAAGCCACCCAGTTGATTTGCACAGTTGTTCCACTTTGCACAACAAATTTTGAAATTTACTGCTTGTTATTGGTTTATTGCATCAACCCAAAAATACTCAATAATAACCATAAACGTTATCCTCAACAGCATGGAATGACCTTTTGTACTTAAGCTTATTTCCAACTCACAAACAGAACCAATCACACCTTACTGAGGAACTAATTTAACAAAAATAGTGGAATCCTGATACAAGTACTTCAACCAAAGCAATCAATTAAAGCAGTAGTTTAGTTTGAAATAGCAGGTTGAAATAACATAACCTAGAAAGATATGCTAACTTCAAGGACAACTTCATTGTTAAGTACAGCATTATGAATTTCCTACTTACGAGGGTGTTTGGAAATAGGAGCACCATCTTGGACTTCTGATGTTTGATCTTGACTCCCTAGACAAAGCAAAACAAGATACAATGTAAAATTAATATTGCACCATCTCCCAAAATTATCCCTGGTTTCTTAGCATGAAGCGATTAGGAGTATTTCTACTCCTTCCTAGATGGGATGCTAGTTCATAGCACGTTTACCCCAAGCATTAAATTTGCCGGCACCCATTTATACACCTGGGTGGAGAGAGGCAGTGTGAAAGTAAAGTGTTCTTGCCCAAGAATACAACACAGTGTCATTAGCCAGGGCTCGAATCCGGACCGCTTGATCTGGATACCAGTGCACTAACCATGAGGCCACTGCAATGTTAGCAATAAATCCTAATCGACAAAGAATTCCAATAGAGTATGTGTAAAGCTCAATAAAAAAATAATTGATATTTTTTGTTGTTGTTGTTTTTAAATTAAAACAAACTTACAGTAGCCAGTCCCTGGGTGGGGTCCAGGTGTGTATGTGGCTGATCCTGGTGGAACCCAGCCAGGTGGTCCAGCTGCATGAAGAGGCAAAAACAAATTGCAGAGTAGGAACTTGTTGGTAAGGGCACAAGTCAAAGAAATGTGTAACAGTGACAAGATCTTTCATTTGAAAATGAACCAAATATAACATATATAGCCACAGAACACAATAAAAGTAATACAGGGGTATCATTAAACTTTTCAGCAAAAGGGCAACTGGTTTTCACAGACAGGCAAAACTATTTGATCTAAACTTCTTTATGAGAAAAAAACTTTCTGCAAGATGGTTAAACCCAACAAACCAGGGGGTAGAATCTTCCTCACAGTCAGTGAATTTACCTGGTGCCCAGGCCACAATGAGACCCCTGGTAATAATTTTTTATCTGATACAAAAAGTTAGAATCAATTTTTAATCATAACCCTCACATTCAATCTGTTTTCTCATGTACCATACCTGAAGAGACATGCCCCATGGTGTGATCAGCAGCGGCGTGCATACCAGAATACATATCATGAGGGGGGCCAACAACTGAAGGAATTGTCTGGCTACCTGGTGAGTAAAAGTTCAAACAAACTTAATTCCCTGCTTTAAAAGAAACGTGTTCCCTTTCTGTTGCCTAATATGCTTCAAATGAGACTTGCTAGTTTAAAATGGTACAATTCATAAACCAACAAAATGAATTTTACAAGTTAGGTGTAAAGCTGCTGGCTAAAGTTGCTTCAGTCTTTAAATTACTTTCAACAGTCATGTATGCAGTGAATAATTTCCTTTATTCCTAGTCAATAATTATTATTGACTAGAGATAAATTGCAAAAAAATATATAACTAGCTAAAAGAAAATGAACCACATATAGTTGAAACCAAAAATTAACAAAAACACAGACACAAATTTTTAGTTATCTTTATAGTTATCTAAGGTGTTGTAAAACAGGGATTCTACAAGGTGCAATTCATCTTTCACAGTTGCCACAGTTTTTCACAGTTGTCATACTTCAAAGACTCTCAAGACTTGTAAGAACAAACATTTTGAGAGAATTTTGTAGTAAATGCATCCTTCTCAGCTGCAAACAGTAAAACATTACAAACCAGGATAGTGATGAGCAGTGGGGCCAACAGCTTGACGGAAATCTGGATCTGGCTGTGAATTACCAGCATAAGCTCCATCTAAAGAAAAAAAAATACAAATTTAATCTGCTCACTGCTTTCTTGATGTGTTTGTTAAGGTTGTCAATTAAACCTCGTGCATTGGGTAATGTGGTCATACTGTACCTCACAATTCTGGTTTTAAGCCCTGGGTTATACAACCTCATAAAGACTTATGGGAGGGTTTAAACAGAAGGACATACAGGTGTATAGGGGTTAAAAACTGTCTAAAATGAGGCGATAAAAAATAACTTATCAACACTTGCACTTAACCACTCACTTGTATCAAAAGATGTTTTCCATTGACTGATTTTAAAGTTTGCAAGCTCTTAAACCCACAAGGAAACAAATACACAAAGTACAGAGGTCATTCTATGGAGCCCTTTATCATTGGGTTAAGTTGACGCCTGTCTCAAGTTCAAACGATGCTCTACATGTCAGCATTTGATTACTGTTGTACATGTATACTTAAAGGATGATTGCATTAACAGACCAAAACTAGAGGAGGGGTCATAACAAGGTGGCCTATAACTGTAACATTCATTTTGTTCACATACAGATGAGCAAACAAGTACATGTAGGAGAGGGCTTATAAGTGGTGAGGGGGAGGGGGTTTGTACAGTGCAAAACCAGGAAGTTACAGTACCTAACAATAAAACACGACTGTTAAAGTAGTGATAATTAGGTTGCAAACAGTAACAATTTGTAGTCTTATAGCGGAGCTCCGGCAGCCCGAAGGGCCACCAAGCGGAGCCCCATACCCATATAGGGAAGAAAAGGAAACCCATGAAT